CGGCCGGCGGATCCCGCCGCAAGGAGCCACCGCCGCGGGACGCGGTACCTTCGCGGGCGAAGCTGCTCACTTGCAGGCGCGACTGTTAAACAACACGCCTGCCAAGTGGGGCCCCGGCCTGACTGTTCCCATTATCCCAAATTCGCCTTTGGTGTAAGCAGCGAGGCCACCTGGGTGGTGACGGTGCTGCGTTCTTAAACCCAACCGACCAACCAAAAACTCCCGTTTTCATGCTGGGGCCCGAGTCACGGTGTTGGGGGGCCCAGCGCGTCCGTGACTTCTTTATTTACGCTAGCCGTAAAACCTGAGAAATAAAAAAGCCCAAGGGGACAGCCGAGAATCTGTTTATCATGTGTGGTATCGTGTAATAAAACACCAGGAAGGAGAATATTTATGCAGAATTGAAGCTTTCAGGTAATGGGTTAATTTCCTAAAACAAAACCCCGGTGACTAACTTGAGAAAATATGAGTAGATCTGAAAATGAATGAATACTGCAAAATCCTAAAGGAGTTTATGAAACGCCAGCTGCAAAGATCAGGCCTTGGGTGTTTGAAATTGTTTGGAGAAAGCACACCTCTAACCAGCCCGTGATGAATAAAGTGGAGAGGAAAAACCTGTTGCATAAGCTCACTTGCCGTGGGGTTTGCTGTGCCGTCCCCTTGAACCAAGGGGAAGTGAGTTAAGATGCAGGGTTTTTAAAACTCTCTGAAGTTTTTATTTACCCAGTGCTCTGGCTGCCACTTCTGCTTTAAAAAAATTATAAGTAAATACTCTGCTCTTACAAGTCAACCAAACCTATCAAACCTGTTTAGAAAATGACCAGGTATGTTTCTTTTCTTTCTTCCGGTGTGTGTGTGTGTGTGTGGTGTGTGTGTGTGTGTGTGAGAAATGTACCATCCGTGAAAGACCTTCTAACTACTATTTGGGGAACTTAGGCTGTCAGAAAAATGCCTCTTTATGCCACTTATTTCGTGGGGCTGATTCAGAGTGCACAGAGGTGACAACTCTTTCCTCAAAGGTTGTATACTATTTCAAACTCCATAAAAAAGAGATTTTTTTTAAAGGTAAGGTAAATTTTTAAAGGAAAAAAAGAATTCTTACCAGTTTAGTTACTTTTAATGATTTACTTTCCCTTGAGAATCCTGTCTATTGGTGGACACACAGCTTGGGAGGCCATAATTGAGACTTGTGGAGTTCTCTTATTTGGTGAAGGCAGAAAGTTCTCTTATTTGGTGAAGAAAGTGAATCGAAAAACTAGGAATTTGTGGCTTTGTATAGGTCTTTTCATCAGAATATGACTAGGCACCGTGAAAATTTTTGGTCTTTGTTTTTTAAAAGTTGTAGAATTTACTGAGTCTGAGGACTGTATAGAAGGTTGCTGTTAAAAAAAAATGGGGGGGCAGTTAACATTGAACATCTCATACAAAAACTTGGGCCAAATTCACCAGCCCAAAAGTTGGTTTTTGGATAAAATAATACATACTTATCAAAGTTCCACATGGGGGAAAATTAAAAATGGTTTATTAATTCTGCTGGTAATATGGCGAATAGTGTATGAAGGAAAGTGAGTTCAAGCACTGTAGCCCTACATTCATATGTAAAATAATTGAATAGCTATAAAGTAAAAATAGTCCTGTAAAATTGAGGATTAGGAGTCTCTCTGGCCAAAAACTTAATGGCAGTAACTGAAAAGGGGGCAAAAGAGAAGATCCTGTTAACCCAGTTCTTTTCCTTTTTCTTACACATTTTAAAACTTATTTGTAGAAGCGAAGCTGAGATCAGGTCTGTGATGGGTGCGGAGTTTAGTCTGGGGCCAGGAGAAGGGCCGGGGTTGATGCTATTTTCTATAAATGCTTTTATCGGGAATTTGATTCCACAGAGGTTTTGGTCTATGAGATTATATACTGATGAAGCTGATTTACATAGCTGTCCAATATTAATGTTTTCCTATTTTCAACCAATCACAATATCCTACTAAATATATTTTGCTAGAATTACCGGTGTGATTTTCCCCAGACTTTTCCTGGATTATCTAAAAAAGTGGGATTTTCTATCCTGTGTTACTTGGACTAAAAATTTCACTGAATGTTTAATTGTTTTTAAAATGCTTTGCATTTTCAAGTAAATGCTATTTTAAGTTGAAGAAGTAAATTAATATAGAGTAAGTTAATTTGGATCAGAATTCTAAGAAAAGGGAGGAAAGAAATCAGGGGAAACAGAAACCAGATTTTATGACAGACTTCAACAGATTGAAAAAACTAGTTAAAAGACTTCATAGGAAAAACCACAATTGATGCTTGATTGGCTTTTTAAAAATTGTATCAAAATCGAAAACCAAGACAGATATCCACCATTATAAAAGAAAATATTACTAATGTTGGCCTAAGCAAAAGCATAATTAAGAAAGTAAGTCTTGCCCAAAGCCACATGATATATTTCAAAGCCAGATGTCAATTTTTTAAAATTTTCTTGTGGATAATCTCATATTTTTGTGTATTTCATTAGCCCATGATCAAGGGTTGGCTATGTGAAGGGATGAGGTTCATAAAGGTTGGCTGGATTTAAAGAAGTAAGCTCAGGCTTTAAGAATAGGCCATTCTCCTACACTGAGAAAGAGTTTGAAATTTAATCAAATAAATACAGAAGTGTCTCAAAAGGAAGGATCTAAGGCAGATTATTAAGGACAGGTACAAAGAAATAAAAGCTTGCCAGGGGTATGATCAATAAAGAAGGAAATGGGATATATCTTGGCATGAAAGAAAAAAGGGATAAAGGGAAAAAATACTCTTCAATACTTTAGCAACAAGAAGGGGATAATGAAACTTCACCTCCTCGAATGGGATTAGATACCTCATTATAGGTATCATCAAAAAGTCACGAGATTTTTCATGACATAAAAGATTTAATCTTGGGAGAAGGGATGGATAAAGTAAATTATGAGCATAAGTTATATGAGAATGTAGAACTTGAAATTGCCAAATATAGAGACCCACTGTAATTTCAACTGAGAAAGGGAGGGATAGGTTTAAAAAGTTGGAACTATTGACTTGATTTCTAGATTAACTATGGATATAGATCAAGCAAAACATTTATTAATGATATGCTGTTTATATATACTGAAGTGGATACCAAAAGCTGGAGACATGGATCCATGCTCTTAATAAGGAGAGGAGGATTATAAGAATTTTAAGCAAAGTATGTACATTTGTAAAGATAAACAATTTTCAGACAGCTGGGAAGTGCCAAATTCATGGTATAAGGGAGAAAGAGATTGGAGCATTGGGGGAGGTAATGGGGAGGTAATCTTCATAGAGATAACAGAATTTGACCTTGGCCTTAAAGGATGGTTAACATGTGTATGGAGGAAGGGAAATGGGGGAGGTCATTCATCCATCTCTTCATTCAGCTAATTTATTTGGAGCCTTTACTGTGTGTTAGACACTGTTCTAGGAACTGGGCATACAGTGGAAAATAAGATAAAGTTTTTGTCCTTATGGGCCCTATATTCTAGTGGGAGAAGATGGAGGGATAGTAAACAAGTAAACACTACATGGAAAACCTGATGACAAATTGTGATGTCTAATGAAGATAATGTGCAGGGTCAAGGAAATTACAGAGGGCTAGTTATGGTCCCACTTAACTCTGTTTTGTGTATAATATTCTGATGAATGTAAATGATGCAACTATGTATTTATTTTTAAGATTTTATTAGAGAGAGAGAGAGCACAGAGGGAGAGTGAGAGGGAGAAGCAGACTCCCCACCAAGCAGAGAGCCCGATGTGGGGCTCGATCCTCTTGGGATCATGACCTGAGCTGAAGGCAGACGCCTAACTGACTGAGCCACCCAGGTGCCCCTATACTGTTTTTCTACAAATAGTAGAAACTTGAAGCAAAATGTCAGTTCCGAAACGGGAAAGTCTAGACTCGCTATAGTTATCTGACCACCAGGTTTTGTTATTGTTGAGATGTTCTTCATCGTGTCAACTAAAATTTTTTTAGTAACTATTACATGTTTTTAGACACATTTATAAAGTACTTCTCAAGCGTTCTGTAAGAAATATGTTCCCTCCTCTTGTCTGCACTTTTAAATTAAAAAAAAAATCTATAGGTGAAATTGAGGTAAAGGATTCTAAAAAGGTTTTATATTAATTGTATATTACATGTGCTTCTACAGTACATTCTGACGTACTTGGGCTAAGCCTATGGAAGAGAAAACAATTTTCAGAGGAGGTGGGAAATTCTTTAGCATTCCCTTGGTTTCCTTCTAAACTAAATATTCAGGGAAGAATTGTAGATATAAACGCTAGGGGTCTGTGGTGTGTGTGAGAAGGACGATAGAACTCAGATTTGTTTCAGTGACTGCATGAGGAGTGGGGCAGACTGCAGTTTACAGAAAAAAGATGCACTATGAATTGTAATGGTAAATGGCAAGGTCATTAATATTAAATAATTTCCATTCTTCCCCTTAAAATCAATGGGGAAAGACGTGTAGAGAGGTATGTGCTGCTTATTGTTTGCATTGTGTAAATTAAAAAATACCACTCATATCCTAGGTGGTGCCTAGTAGAGTTGTCTTTTGATAAATATTTGCTGAATAAATTGAATAAATTCTCACAACTGTTACTTTTGACCATGGTTCCATTAAGTCTCTAGCTTAGAGCATTGTTTTTTGAGCTTTGAGATGAAACCTGCAGGGGGTTGCCTTATAGCCTTGGGCACCTGACTTGTTTGGGCAGTGTTGCTCACTCTGAGAACCTGGACCCTGACCTCACCTCCAGCTTGTGGCTGGTCTGACCTCATCTTTTCCAGAGAGGTGGGTGGTTGTCTCCTATCAGCTTTTATCTTCCTGAGTAGCTGAGCTATGTCCTCTTCTGGTCACCTCTCAGGACACTGAAGTATTGCCAGTCTGGCTTATTTTATAGTGGGTTTCTCTTGTTATTTTTGTTGTTTGGTTGGGAGAGAAACACATTCCTCAGGAAGATAGTTGTTGACTTTGCTTTGTAAACTGTACATGGTCTATAAAACATGGTATTATTTCCTTTTTCTTCCTAGCTTTAGCTAAAAATCTTGTGTTCACTTGAAAATGAACTGGTAAATGATTTTTTGATGATATGAAGCAACTAAAAACTAACAAGACTTCTTTTTTTTTTTTTTGGAGACAATCAGGAAACATGGAATGTATATTAGATGATATATAAGAATTATAGCCATTAAGTTTTTATCCATGTTAATGGTATTGTGGTTATGTTAAAAATTTTTCATCTGTTAAAGAGGCCTATGGAAGTATTTATAGGCAAAATGAAATGATGTCTAATATGTTTTTAAAAAACTTTAGGATAGGCACAAACATACACAAATGGGAAGTAAATAAAACTATTGGCAAAGTTTGATAATTGTTGAAGCTGGGTGATGGCTACATTGGGGTTTGTTATTATTGTCTGTATTTTTATCTGTATTTGGAAATACCCATAATAATTAAAATATACATTGCCAATTATAACCGTAGAGGAAGAAATTTAATACAGTAAAATTTTGTGGTTGGACATTTGAGCTAATTGACTAATCAAAAATCTCCCCTTCACATTTTCTGTAAGTTCTGCTTTTAGTAATGGATTTTTTAAAATAAGGAGAATTTTGGTCATTAGAAGTATTTAAAACTCTTAACTTTGAGACTTTGTAATAATAACATACTTGTAGTTTATAAATTGCTTTGATATATTTTTTCTTTTATCCTCAGAACAAGATATGAGTTATCCATCTTACAGATGAGGAAACTAAGACCTTAGAGAGACTAAGTAATTTATACAGATCCCAAAGCAAGTAAGAAGTGGTGCTGGACTTGGAGGCGAGATCTTCTGATTCATTTTCAGGTGCTTATTTTCTTATATACACATTCTTATAAGTATTCTTTTTAGGTGTTATAAGCCACTGGTTTTCAAACATTTTGGTGTCATGACACCTTGTATTCCTAAAAATTATTGAGGACCCCGAAGATCTTTTATGTGGAATATATCTGTCAATATTCAACATATTAGAAATGGAAACTGAGAAATGTTTAAATGCTTATTCATTTAAAAATAAACTTATTAAAGATTAATAATATAGATAACATAGTATCATGAAAAAGATAGTCCAAAGCAAAAAATACAGTGAGAAGTGGGACATTTGCATTTTGCCACTTTCTTTACTGTGTTGCTTAATAGAAAACAGTTGGATTTTCATAACTGCTTTTATATTTCAATCTTTTGTGATAGTTTGGTTTGAATTATATGGGGAAAGCCCTCTATACACAGATACATAGTTGAAAAAGGGTGGACTGTTTTAATAGCTTTTGTAATTGTGAATATCCTTTGTCACATCAAAACTCAACAAGTGGTAGATCCTTTAGTTGCAGTGTTGAATCTGAAACCATACCAGTGATTTTTTTTATATTCCATAACATTAAAATTCTTTTGGTCCGTCTTGAACTTTGAATGGATCTTTGACCTGTATGTGATTTTGTAACATCATGCATTGGTCATTTGAAAAATAATGGTTTACTGAGTTATACAGATCTTTCAAATATTGACACATTTGATTACACAATATTTAACAAATCACATTCATTAATATGACCATCATTCTCATCAAAAAAGCCTTTGAGAATTGGGAAGTGGTCAAGATTTTGCTGTTGAGTTCAAGTTTTACAAAATTCTAATTTTTTTTTGAAAGCTCAAATTTTATCATCGGCAACAGATATTGTCGGCTTTTTTCCTTGAAGTGTCAGTCTCACTTTATTCACTTTAGAGAAAATGTCTGCCAAATACCTCAGTCTGAGTAACTGTTGTCTGCCAGTCATTCTTTTAAGCAAAAATGGTATTCTATGAAAATGTACAGTTTAGCTCACAACTGCAACAATTGTATAAATCCTTTTCCTTAAGACTGCCATTGTATTAAATATGCAGAAGTGTTTTTTGTGTACCTCCGTTTCATCACACAGAATATTAAAAAGACCAAGTTCTCAAGAGTGAGATGCAATGAAATTAATAACTTAATGTTTTATCAGGGACATTGTGAAGTGAAACTGGCTTTTTTTTTTTTTAAATGATTGATACAGTGAAGAATATAATTATTACTAGTACAGTTTTACACTTCTGCCTTGATTCATGCTAAAGCACCAAAAGTTTTGCCCATCTTTTGTACCCTCAGAGCAGATATCTACGTAGTTGTTTCGGGATAAATCATGAGACTCGAAAAAGTTAATACTTTGAGTAATTCAATAGCATTCTTATTTGTTGCAACCATTCACATAAAAGAAGACCTTCTTCGATTAGTTGGCATGGATACTGGAATAGTGAAAACAAAACAGTGAGTCCACCCATGTCTACGGATCTGTCCACTTATAAAGCATAAGTACAGTCCTTAAGGCGAGATATTAACTTCTTACTCATGTTTGCAACTAAATCTTTAATTTGATGAGATCCTGCATCATTTTTAAGTGGCACTGCTGTGATTCCTTTTACTGACTTTTCATCCAGCAGACATTCGGCAATGTTCACCATACCACGCTTCATTAGTTCCTCAGCTATTGTGTGCACTGTTCCAACCAGTGCAGTCTGGTTATTTACCCTGTATAATGCTTCAGTGTCTTGTTTATTTCTGATATGTAAAGTCTTTTGCTTTTTTTTTTTTTTTAAAGATTTTATTTATTTATTTGCCAGAGAGAGAGAGGTAGAGTACAAGCAGGGGGAGTGGCAGGCAGAGGGAGAAGCAGGCTCCTTGCTAAGCAAGGAGCCCGAGGTGGGACTCAATCCCAGGACCCTGAGATCATAATCTGAGCCAAAGGCAGACACTTAACCATCTGAGCCACCTAGGCGCCCCAAGTCTTTTGCTTCTAAAGAGCTCATCTTGTCAGTGTTTAAAACATTCCATTTCTCTTCCTGTAAACACTAAATGAATTCATTGGATGATAATGAAGTTATGGAGATTATAGCAGATATTACCAAAGATTGCTATTGCTAGGAACATGAAAGTACTGAGAATACACTCAACTCATTTCTGAAAATGTATATATTTATGCCTTAAGCTTACTACCTTAGAAAATTCTAGAAAACACAAGAATATATGAGCATATGTTCCACTAGTTGTCAGCATGATACATTATCACCACATACCATGTATCCTCTGGATTTGCTGTTGTAACACTCATGAGAGTGAGAGCAAAAAAGGCAGATAACCTCTTTGTATTACCAAAAATAGTTTTGCCAGCGTGGATCCCCTGAAAGGGTCTCAGGGACCTCCCACCCGGGGTCTCTGGATCAAACTTGGACAATACTGATATAAACTACCACTGTGTCCTAACATATTTTTAGAGAAGTCTGACATAGACATCTATATAAATTAAGTAATGTTCCCATCTTAACTGATTAATTTATGAGGAAGAAGGGAATATGCTAGTGTGTGGGATGAGCCATGCGACCCAGAGACTATAATGGGTGGAAGGTCATATAATACCAGAAAGTGGTTGGATAAAGGATAGACAGAAGGGAGGAGTCGGTAAAAGCACTCTGTAACTGAACAAAAAATGAGCATTTGTTCTCCCTGTTTTTTTCTTTTTAAACTAGAAAAGCATGGAGCCCCATATATGCACATACGTAGATATCTGTTCATACTCATTTATATCTGTGCTCAAAATTAGGAGTACCTGCTCATTTTCTTCTTGAATGGCAACAGAAGAGATGGTTTCATAATTGAGAGGAGAATCGGTGCTGATGGCAGTGGTTTGTTCCTTCCAACCAGGGAGGCTGTTGACTTTTTTTTTTCTCCTAAGGAAGCTGAGGGATGACAGAAGACAAATGAGGTTAGAAAGAAGAAATTATGAAAGGAGAGTGAGTGGTGTAGACACTGGTGATCATGGGAACAGCTGCAGGCAGGACTGGGCTGTGGACAGAGTGGAGAGATAAGCACTGGAGGGTAGAGAGGGCTGGGGGGTGAAGTGGGTTCTCCCGTGTCCTGGGCGCAGGGACGATGGGGCCTGGGGAAGTGCAGAGCTGGGTGCAGCCAGAGTCATGGAGATAAACATATATTTGAAAGATTTCCATCAAAATATGGTTAAAATAACTATTTAAATCAATGCACTGGATAGTCTGACTTTTAATGTCTTACCAACATTTAAGTTTTTTTATTATAGCCCATATATATTCCATTATAGTAGAAAATAACAATGCCGTGAGTTTGGTGTAGTGCTGGTAAGTCTCTAAGCTTTGGTTGTGAGCATCAGTATATGAAAATATTGGCTGGGCCAGGTTTGGGACTGCAGATTCAAGAGTGAAATTGTAATGCTTTTAACCGGCGACAGAAGAGTTTAGTTCCAATAGATACCATTTATCAGTTTGTTTTATATGTGGTCCTTATTTCCAAAAAGGATTTGAGATGGCAGAAGTCAGTAATGAAGAACAAACATGATTCTAAATCATGTTTTTTTCCCTTATGTTGTCCCTATTGATGACATTTTAATAGAGTCATGTAGTTGAGGTACTGTAGATTGATCTCTGTTACCTATTCAGGAGAAATATAATCCTGTCACCTCTTAGTTGCATGTAGTGTAAGCAGAATATATTGCAATGGGAGTGAGATTGGGCAGGATAGCATGCTAGAGAAAAATTTTAGAACTGGGGCACCTGGGTGGTTCGGTTAGTTGCGCGTCTGCTTTCGGCCCAGGCCCAGGTCATGATCCCGGGTTCCTGGGACGGAGCCCTGCGTTGGGCTCCCTTAAGGGAGCCTGCTTCTCTCTCTCCCTCTGCTTCTCCCCCTGCTTGTGCGCGCTCTCTATCAAATAAATAAAATCTAAAAAAAAAAAAAAATTCAGAACTGCTTTCAGCTGTAGTTAATAGAAATCCACTAGCAGAGGTTCACACCATAAGCTGTTTGTTATTATGCAGTTCATGCAGTTCAGAGGTAGGTGGTCTGTCGGTTTAGTTGCTCAGCAGTGTCCTCAAGGCCCTGGTTCGCTGTGGTCTTTGACTTTGCCACTTCTTCTGTGTTCATTTACTGCTGCCAGGTCACAAAATGGCTGCCTCAGCTCTAGGCATCACATTCCTTTCTGAGGCAAGAAGGAGGAAGGGGACCAAGCAAGCAGTCCCTCCTCCTGTGCTTGCCTAACAGAGAACAAAATCTTTTCCAGAAGCATCCATCCCACTTTCTCTTAAGTCTCATTTGTTTGAACTGTATTACAAGACTGCCCCCAGTCACAGGAGAGACTGGGGAAATGTTTATGGCTGAGGGGAGTGGGATTATCATTTCCTAGGGTTCGGCACACTGAGTGTAGCCCAGGAGAAATTGGGATTCTGTTAGCATGTCTGTTGGGTAGCTGTGTTTCTGTCACAAATACACAGAAAGGAAAGCCCAAAGACGGTTAGGTAATGTGCTAAAACACTTCCGTTTAGTCTAGAGGCTGTTTTAAGTCTTCCTCCTCAAATTAAGGCCATACCCATTTTCTTTCTGATTTTAGTGGAAGGTTATACAGACCTATATCCTAATTAGTTGTAGAGCTAATTTAAAGACTAGTCTCAGTCTTCTCAAGTGTGAAATAAGATCATCTCAGATGGAATCTCCAGTTCTAAAATTCTTGTCTCTCGGGGCGCCTGGGTGGCTCAGTCGTTAAGTATCTGCCTTCGGCTCAGGTCATGATCCCAGGGTCCTGGGATCGAGCCCCGCATCAGGCTCCCTGCTCGGCGGAAGCCTGCTTCTCCCTCTCCCATTCCCCCTGCTTGTGTTCCCTCTTTCCCTGTGTCTCTCTCTGTCAAATAAATAAATAAAATTCATGTCTCTCTCCTTTTTTCCCCCATCTTGACCACTTCACACTTACTACCCTTTTTCCCCCCATCTTGAC